TTAAGTGACGCGTTTAAGACGGCCTGATCGTTATGGTTGCAGATTTCATTGTAAAGAACGCAGTCATCTGCGAAAAGTTTAATTTTTACCGGTATGTCATGTACAATATCGTTAATTAAAACGAGAAAGAAAAGTGGCCCGAGAACAGAGCCCTGTGGGACGTCCGAAAGTACTGGCGAGGCCACAGAACATGCGCCGTTAACGGCTACGCTCTGTTGCCTGTAGGAAAGGTATGATTTAATCCATGCCACTAAAGTTTCATTTTTCAAAATGGCCGTCAATTTACTCTGCAATTTTGAGTGCGACACACGGTCAAACGCCTTCTCAAAATCTAAGAATATGACGTCCACTTGCCCCCGTTTGTCCAGTGTTGCAGCGAAGTCGTGAACCGTTTCCAGAAGCTGAGTTACAGTGGACCGTCCCCGGCGGAAGCCATGCAGTCGGGCGTCCAAAATGCAATTGCTCTCAAGAAATTGTGAAATGTGCTTAAATATGATATGTTCGAGCGTTTTGACACATGTTGAGAGAATAGAAATCGGTCTGTATGACGATAAGTGAGAACGGTTTTCGTTACCTTTCGGTATTGGAGTGATTTTAGCATACACCCAATCCTCGGGAAGTTCAGAGCACTCGAGAGATCTGTTAAATAGTAAACACAAGTACTTCGCGCACAACTCAGCATATCTCACAAGAAAAGCGTTGGGTATGCCATCAACACCTGGGGACTTTTTAACATTTAGATGGACCGCAGGGCGCGGGTTCGAATCCCGGCTGCGGCGGCTGCATTTCCGATGGAGGCGGAAATGTTCTAGGCCCGTGTGCTCAGATTTGGGTGCACGTTAAAGAACCCCAGGTGGTCTAAATTTCCGGAGCCCTCCACTACGGCGTCTCTCATAATCATATAGTGGTTTTGGGACGTTAAACCCCACATATCTATCTAACATTTAGATGGAGCAGAAGGGAAAAGACACCTTCTTCATTGACACACACGTCACTGATAGGAGGCACTTCAATGAAAGAAAGAAATTGCGGGATGTTTCCATCGTCATCAGTAAACACTGAACAGAAATACCGGTTCAAAGCATCTGCAACATCTAGGCTGTCGTAAACAGGCTCATCGTCTACGTAAAGGCTGATAATAGTGTTCTTTTTCGGTGCGAGATAACGCCAGAACTTGTCTGGAGACGAAATCATGAATTCTTTTAACGACACTTGCTGATAATGCTCTTTTGCTGTCTTAATTTTGTTTTTCAGTTGCATTCGCGAATCGTGCATTCTATCAGAGGCAGCTGTTGATGGGCGCTGCTTACATTGCTTTCTTTGCTTTTTTAGTTTTCGTCCCATGCGTACGATTTCTTTATTCATCCACGGATTATCCTGCCTCAGTACTTTCCTCCGGAAGGGTACAAATTTATTCATTGTGTCAAACACTACGCTTTTAAAGAAACCCCAGATGTGGTCAATCGAATATTCTTTTGATCCGCACATAGAAACAAATTCAGGAAACGAGCTGTCAAGCACATCAAGTATGTCTACATCACTAGCACGTGTGAAATCGGGTATTAGACGTTGTTCTTTTGTAGCTTGAAGCGGAGCGTTTAATTGCATAGTGAGGCAGGTGATTTTATGGTCCGATATACCCTGAAAAACATCAACTTGGGGATTTCGTCGCATAATGCCGTTATTTACAAGGAACAGGTCTAAAACGGACTCAGCTTCATTTTGCACTCGGGTGGGTGTAGTAACCAGTTGTGTTAAACCATGAAGCACTACGCAGTGAACAAACGGCTCCGAACCAGCACTAAGGGCTTCAGGTACGTCGTTTTGCCAGTCTACGGAAGGGAAATTAAAGTCACCCGCCAGGAGCATATTACAGGAATGTTTGCCATAGGAGCACAAGAACTCGTTAAATATTTTGACAAACGTGTCGCAGCTAGGAGGGCGATAAAAGGCGCCAATAATTATGTGAAGTTCTTCAAATATTGCTTTAACGACGACACATTCTAGTCCATCCATATCGGGTAATCTGACTACACGTAAAGATTCTAAAAACAGAATAGCAACACCTCCCCCTCGAGAGCCTCTGTCCTTGCGGTATACCTTGAATCCGGGGGGTGTTATTTCAGAATCGCCAATATCACAGTGTAGCCAAGTTTCAGTTATTATCAAAATATGTGGTTTATACGTGATAATAAGGCTTTCTAAGTCCGCGGTTTTGTTTATTATGCTGCGAGCATTTAAATTCATGCAACGGAGTGTCTTCTTTTTACGCTCTTTAGTAGTTCATTGCGCCGAGTCTGTTCTGGTATTGCGCCGAGAGATAGGAATTCTTTTCGCTTGGGCATTGTCCCATTCAAACATGTCATCGTCAATTTTGATTTTGTTGTGCATGAGCTTTACCTTCTGGCCCGCTTTTTTGGCTTCTTTTGCCCTATCCCAAAGCTGCTTTCTTATTTGCCGGGTAGTGGCCGAAAAGTCCTCTGATACGTATATGCCCCCCCCCCCCTTTTAGTTTAGGGCAGTTTATCAACACGGCTAATTTTTCGCGGTGATCCATGAACCTCATTATAACCGGGCGTGGCCGGTGGGCAGTTTTGCGTCCCAACCTGTGCATTCTTTCAATTGAACATACCGTGACGTCTAATGTTTTCTGAAATAAGTCTTCGATTACACTTTTAGCGAGCCCTTCTGCTGTCTCGTTCACGACTTCTGGAAGCCCGAACACTATCAAATTATTGCGCCTACTTTTCCTCCAGGTCTACCATCTGGTTTTCTAATGCCTTTATGCTGTTCTCGAGCTGACTGAACTTATTATGGAATTGTTTGATTACAGCCGTACATTCCTCAACGTTCTTAAGTTTTGTTTCTATAGCCTCAAGCCTATCCTGAATGTTCTTCTGACCATCCAGAATTTCCTTCAGCACCTCCTCGATGGGAGGCCCTGCGTTGGGCTCTACATCCCCAGAAAGCATTAGGAGAGAAAGGATAACATCCATGGCAAACGAGAAGCATTCACATACGCTGTTTGGGCATGTCAGCTGGAGAAAACATCGATTGCTCGTTTTTTACAGACGAGCTTTTTTCACTAACCTCTTAATGAAACTGAATTTTCGAGATAAGCCGGCGATTGCATTAACCAGTTGCCGAGAAAGCTATAACACCAAAACAGAGAAGACGAGATATTGCATAAGCGCAAAAAAGCGACAAAGTTTAAGATCGCTGCGCAATGTGGTTTTCGCCATTCTCCACATTTGGTTTGGTTTGGTTTGGTTTGCTTTATTGAAGACAAAATGGAAAATTCTTTTCCGTGATCCCACCGGTTGCGTCTTACGTTTATTTAGTGCTCTAGATCAGCTTGTGACGACACCCTGAGCAGCTGGGGTGTACACCTAGCGTTGGGTGCAGTTTCGCAACACTTGCACTTCCTTACACTCGGTTGAGACGTCCTTCGGTCAACGTTGTCAAGTAGAGAGGAACTAAGCTCTTGTACGATATCAAATCGTAAGTCTTTCATGGATATGCATGAGTGGACGGAAAGACCTTTATTCATGTGATGTATGGACTCATGACATCCACCTGAAATATCCCACGTTGGCACCAGATGATGAAGCCTCCCAACTCGGACTGGCGTATTGGACAGCCCGGACTTGCGTGAAATGATCTTGTGATCATCCATGAAAACTTTTTCCCGAGGCATGCCCGAGGTACGTGACAAATGCTCACAGAGAAAGAGCTGATAGTTCTCTATTCAGAGACTACAGACTAAATGGAGCACACGTTGTCAAAATATGGCTTAATATTCAGCGGCAAAGACGAAAGCAGTAGTACAAACTAGCACAGAGCAATCATGTTTTCAAGCTATCGAAGATAATAGAGAGTTTTAGTATTGCGTACGCTGCGTACGTGGCGGCGTTGCGTACGTAAGGACGCCACGTTCTGCGTAGTGCGCATGCGCAGACCGCAATGCGCACGTATCGCGTTACGGACGCAGCCGCTACGTACGCACGCATGAGATGCGTGCGTGCGTACGTATGCGGTGATCACGCCGCTCTCGAACAAGTTCACGACCGCGCGAGACTTCATTTTGCAAAATGGCGGCAATGAAGGCAAGCACCGACCGGCTCTGTGACTTAAAATATGGCCATAATCTGGCTATAACAATTGGATTGGCTCACATTGGCTGTCAACAACACGTACTTCTATTTTGATCTACCAGATGACGCAACACGCTTCATGCTCGTTATGTACGCGGGTAGTACGGTGTACTAAAAGCCGATTTGTGGCAAACGACGCCACGTAACGCAAGGCGCTTGCGTGATGCGTACGTAGCACCAATCCGCAGTACTAAAACTCTCTAATAATGTCCTCATTGATGCGTCATCTATTTCATGTGATGTACCTATGTTTAGTTAGGACGCGAGCCAAGATTTCACATCAGCATTTTTTTCCCGACTATTTCCGCACTTTTTTCTGGCTCAGACGTGGAATGAATGAAGCGTTCAGGGCAGTCTAACGTTTCAGACTATGAACCTGGTCATGTATTCGTAGAATGCGCTTTTAATTGACAAAACGTTCTTTGCATCATAGGTAAATACAAAGTGCCATAAATAAGGACAGGCACGTTTAACATGTCAGTTGTGAAGGCAAAACCATAGGAATAACCGCTGAAACCTCAGGTACTAGTCATTTATTGTTGGAAGCGCTATTAGTATGTTGTGAATTGGCCATTTTTCTAAGAGCGAAGCCCCTGAAGACCTCACAAGGTCCCTTCATTTTTGAAGCCGGCCGCCTAGAGCATATGCAAAAACCAACACAACTGGGAAGAGCGAAAATGTTACGAAAAGGCTGTCAAGCCGAATAAGGAAAATGGAAGACCAGTCAAAGTATAAGACAGAACGAGAGGTTAAATAGAACAAAATAAAAAAAAACAGTTAACCATAACAAACTGCAATAATTTGCTGCACATCGTTCCACCGGATGGTCAAAATTCACTTCGTGGATATGCGTAGATTTTTTTTATTTTACATTTTATCTCGGAGAAAGCTATTGCAGCAAGTCGTTTCCTTCCAAATGGCATCTTCGCAGCTCTTATTATCCCTTTTATTTGTCTAGTCCTGTGGAGCGGCTTGTTTCGCCATGTGTATTCGCGTCGCACTCGCTGCTATGTCTGCAAAATACATATATGATCAATCGTTGGGGGGGGGGGGGTAGGATTTCAGGAGACTTCGTGAGCAAATTCGGCGCCTAGCACAGTAGAGAACTAATGCCAGAGTTTTCACGTAGCAATATTACGTTATGGTATACTGGCATGTTTCGAAATAATTTTTTGTTTTTTTTTTTTGCGCACTCTATGCAAAATGGCTTCTGTGACAACACAAGTATTCATCTTGATTTCATATGATGCAAAATATCAGCATGCACCCGTCACCTTCAACAACACGGTCAAAGAAGCATTTCAAAACATTTGACAGCGCACAATAATACGAAAAAAAAAACAAATCGCTAAGCAATGTGCAGAGGTTAGGCTAAGCGATTTATATTAATTATGAATTATTGACCACTGCAAATAATTTCTCGAGAATATAAATGTTATTTCGCTCTCGCCTGTTTACCAATTATCTTCATTTATTTGTGCTTTAAATGCAAGCCCATTTTCATTTTAAATTTTGAGCAACATCAGAATCCCCACCACAAATCAAGAGGCCACAATGACTTCTACATAGTCATTACTCTTCTACTCACATTTTTTAAAGAAAATTCAACTTCAAAGAAAATTCAACGATGGATGCTATCCATCGGCTTTAGCTTTGAACGTCTCTCAAAATAGTGCTGGACATGCACTTGCTAGAAGAGAAAACTGTACAGTTATCATGACCGTGCACATTGATACCATTGCCTACATTTACCAGTGGCAACGAAAAGAAAGCGTGGATATATTAGAAAGAACATTTGCGAGTTTTGAAAAAAAAAACTTGCGCCATACCAGATAGAGAAGACACCGCACGGTTTACATGTTGCATGGGCAATCTCCTGAGAGGAGAAAGACTGGGTTTTACCAGTGAAACTTTGGGAAAAGCCGATCTGGGTATTTTTAGTGGTGGTAATTTAAATCGAGGCAGTTTGAATTTAAACCTCGGAAAACGTAAAGCTTCCACTTCCTCACAAAGGACACCTTCTCGCAACGTGGACAAAAGGAACGCAATCGTAAGCACCGTGAAAACCACGGGGACGTATGACACCTTGGTCATGTTTATACAATGTCAAGAGTGTGTCTTCTCGCCTAATAGGCAGCGTATCTTATATACACCACAAAGGCGAGTGTCAAAGAAAAAAAAATAACGTCCCGCCTGATTGTCACGCTCTCATCGTTTCTCGCGCCGCTATTTTTGAGACGACTATGACGTGTCCTCACGTCTCAGTTTTCATTTGCGGTGGGTCTAAAAGGCGAAACGACTACTCAACATTGTTAGGCTGTGATAGCGTAAGAGCACTAACGCGAAGAAAGGACGTCATTGTTAAAAATGCTACAGTTTCGCCTGGGCCTAAGCAATCAACGCTATAACGAGAAATTGGAATGTCAAATGACGATCGATGGTGACATTTGATACTTACAGCTGCCTGCTGAAGCACGAAAGAGGATGAAAGAAAAAAAACGCACAAAAATACATTGCGCAATTGTGAACTAAAAAACTGCCGCAGTTTTCAAGTCTTTGTGTTTCAGAAACGCGCTTCAAGTGTAAATGATGCACAACCCAAACGTTGTCTGCGCGTGATGTCACACACACACACACACACACACACACACACGCACGCACGCACGCACACACACACACACACACACACACACACACACACATATATATATATATATATATATATATATATATATATATATATATATATATATATATATATATATAGGGAGAGAGAGAGAGAGAGTAGGAGGAACAGATGGCCTTATGCGGGCACCCTTCACAGTAGACGAAGTTCAGGCCAATATGGTGGCACCGCCCACTCTTTCTCACTTAGCAGACATCATAATCTTCAACCTGACTCCTGACTACATTCACTGCAGAAGAAAGGCCTCTCCTATGAGCCACCAGTCAACTCGGTCCTGTGCTTGCTGATGCTATTTTATATTCGCAAACTTCCTAACCTCATCTGCCCCCCCCCCTCTTCCTGTCTCCCCCTAACCCGCCTGGCTTCTCTAGGAATCCAGTCAGTTATTCTTAATGACCATCGCTTATCCTGCCCATGCGTGCATGCCCGGTAAATATCCATTTCTTTTTTCTATTCTCCAGTATAATATATTTAACCCCGGTTTGTTCCTCGATCCACTTAGGGAACATACTATGTCGTAAGTGAAGCGCAGACATAGTATATCATAAGTGAAACAATAAGAGCACAAAATGCAAGACAGTAGGACATATGTTGTGAAAGTACAGCGCAGCCGAAAATTCATTGGCAGTTTATACAAGGCTAATAGGTGCATATGTAGACAAGCTCTTCACACAAGGTCAGCTCACACCTAGCCAAGTGATTACACGAAATATCAAACGCACTATTTTTCAATATCACATACTTATATTAGTATAAAGGAAAAAAATCAAAGCAAGAAATTTTGTCTACTCGTGTCTGTCCATTGATTCAGTGGCCCAGCGAAAGTTCAAGTCCATTCTCAAAGGCTAGCCATCTATGTCTGATGCTTCGTTCATACTTTGCACCTTGTCAACCAAATAGCAAACTTACGCATGTTTGAGGCACAGCAGGAATACACATGTATGATGTAGTGTGTCGTTTATTTACAAAATGCACTGATACGTAATAAAGATCAGAGTGTTGATCACGCTGCTCTGACATTGCGACACTATGAATAAAATAGCAGGCATTTCCTACCTTACGCTAAAAAATTCGGGGCCTAGGCTCGCGAACATAACGCTGGCCAGCTCATTTTATTGCCAACCCGCATTACCATACCCTCTCTCACCAATGCTAACTGCAATATTCCCCTTCACATACACAATCAATTACTCATACCACCTCTTCCTAATAACACGCACCCAACTTATAATACTAAGCGTAAAATTCAAAACGCAAAAGCTCTTCGAAAAAAAAAATGCGAGCACCCAATGACATCCCTGTATTGATGGGACAGAATACCAATACTCCTCACCTTAATCCCTCTCCTCTGTTGATTCTAATGGCAAGGCGCTCACAAGAGCATCAATCACTGTCAACTTCTCGAAGGAGGCAGAGGAGGCTACCATAGCAATACGTCTCTCAATCCCCAATATCGTTATGATTGTTGCTGACTCCAAAACTGCCACACGTCAGTTAAGTGCACATCGAATCTCACACAAACTGCCTTTTGAATTTCTAATAAACGTCCTCCCATGGAAGACGTTGCTCTCCTAAGGACGGGTGCGCATGGGAATTTGTTTGGCAAGGGGCGGGTAATGTCTTTGCTCGACCAAAGACGGGCCTTGCGCAGGCCTCTGGTGGCGCCTTAGACCACGCGACTCCTTTCAGCGCGAGCAATTGTCTTTTGCTCTTCCACGACATAGCGGATCACTGCTACCTAGAGCTCACCACGTAACCCCCCCCCCCTTTTACACATTGGACCTACCTACTACCACAAAATACTATGGCGCCATTTGCAGAACCATACGGTTTTCGCCATCTGATACACTCTGCGACACACTCCTTCCGTTTATGTATTTTCTTCCAACAAAAAGCCAATCTAGACAATATCATGTGGGGGATTACCCAGAACCCATCACCTAACTCTCTACACATTGTATTAGGGAGCAATGGGAGGCTGCTATGTGCAACTAAGCGCAGTTTAGAAGCATAAGTAAAGCTCGGTCGCCGAGAAAGCTGGGGAGTGTGTGCAGGCCAAGCTCCAGTTCAATGCCGCTGCCTCTTAGATCTAGTAGTGTGCCAAGCTACACATCAAATATTGTTCAGCCTCACACGCATGCTGGCACTCGTCCCTTACAAATTCGCCTCAAGTTACCACGAAATTAAAGCACAAAACAGCTTGCACTAGGTTTACATTTTGCGGTATCTTAATTGAGGGTAATGTCTTTAAAGTACCTCGTTAGGCCAGATCTGCGACTTTCAATCAGTCACCCAGCAAAACAAAAAAGAAAAAGCTTAAAGACGATAAATCTTACAAAAAGAAAAAAGAATAAAATTGGCAGCAGGTTCCAAGCACTGTAAGCACCGATGCCAAGAGAGCCTCTCAGCAGTGGGGTGTTCTTGCCGCACTTTAAACCAGCACATTGTATATCGGCGTCATTTTTTGATGTGACTTTTGGTGCTTGACATTCTTCGTCATACCTCAAGTACCTCTTTCAAGGGTGCTTATCCAAATACAAAAAAAATGCGTGGAGTTGTTCGTTGGTTAGCTGGGAGTGCACGCTTCATTTCGCAAACTTAGTTCTCTAGAAAGCCTGATATCTGACGTCTTAACTCCCGAACGCTGCTATCATGACAACTGCTATTTTATTCAAATTTCAATATTAGGGAGGCAAGTCAGCTTAAAATATTGAAGTACCATCCACATGAAACTACAGCTTTGACGTGTCCGTCGGTCTGTAGATCAGCCAGTTCTATTTTGTAGACATTTTCACTTAATGAACATTTTCAAGAATCCTTGCTACTCAGATGCTCTTGAAAACTTGAGAACCCGACTTCGTATTCTGTTTTGGAACCCTTTAGGATTTTAGGGAATTTTTCTGCACGAAGTGTAGTGTTTGCATTTCCCATAAAACGTTTGCATCAAGAGAAATTACCAAGATTAGATTAACCAGCCTGGTTTTAGAAAACCTGCAATTTCGTTCAAAAGCCTTAACATCTGCGTCAATATCGGACAAGTGCTTGCCTTTTCAATTAAAGGCCCTTCTCTGAGTTATTATTTCTTCAAAGCATTTCTATCTCTCTTTAAGTCTATGTGTTGTGATGAAGAACAATACAAACAGAAAGTGATGTCTTGTTGTTCTTTTTTAACCGAAATAAGGCAATTAGGCTACCTTGTACGCTTTCACAATAAAAGCGACACGGGAGGCAGGAGGGAGGGTGGTTTGGGTGTTGTGCTAGAGCTACACAATACTGTCCTCCGCACTACAGGTTGCCGACCCGTGCTCTAAAGTAATCATATAACAAGTAACAATATGAAAGAATTTTTTGTTCGCATGGTTATCACTTCAATGGAATTCTGTAAATGCACTTGTCATATTTCTGCTTCGCAGTTTGGATCAATTATGTGCTGTGAGAGATCTCACTATTGTATATTTAGAAATTTTATTATTGTGAACCGTTTCATCAGGATTAGAATGTTCGCGTGCTTCAAATTCAAGCCCTTCGCCATCCAGTAACAAAGCAGCACTGTGTAATAGCATCAATATCTTTGACATTTAGTGGCTGCCGTCCAGCCTTTGCCACCGTTTTAAATGCGAAGCACTTCTTAGCGAACTTCGGCGACTTTAAGCATATCTATCTATCTATCTATCTATCTATCTATCTATCTATCTATCTATCTATCTATCTATCTATCTATCTATCTATCTATCTATCTATCTATCTATCTATCTATCTATCTATCTATCTATCTATCTATCCATCTATCTATCTATCTAGCCGCCTACGACTTTTCGCTCTCTTGGCTGTTTCGATAATGGTATCGATAGCAAACTTGGTATGTTATTGCATCACTGTAAGAAAAACATAATTGACTAGTCATAACATGAAAATCATGACATGGATGTCATGAATGTCATGATTAAAAGTTCCTGTACCTGCGGCTCTTGCGGAGGTATCGTTCACATGGCACGTTGAAAAACCGGTATGGTATGACATGAATGCATGGCGAACACAAGCGACAGACCCTAACATGAAAATCATGACATGTGTGTCATGTAACAGCATGACTGTATGCCAAGCTCATGATGTGGTCGCGGGCGTTTCTTTATGGTCATATATACCAAATTTGGTATTACGGTACGTGAGGGAATGACGAAGCTATGTGACTGGTTGTTACAAGCTGCCACTCTAGCGTCGCCAGCGCGAAGTCGGCGACGGGAATGACAGCAGGTTGGTTCGTTCCGCACGCAAGCAGAGACAGTGAAGAGATCAGAGACGTGAGAAAACAAAACAAGCTTTACTCTAGTGATATGGCAGCACACGGGATCTAATACAACACTTCTATACAACTAACAAAATACATCAACACTTGATACAACTAAAAAATACATATAAAACAATAAATCAG